ATTAATATTTTCAAAAAATATAACTGATCATATTAATCATTTAGATATATTTATTAAATTAATAAAAGAAAATGGATTAGTAGTATCTGCCAAAAAGATAAAAAAATTTCAAACAAAAATTAGATTTTTAGGATATGAAATATATCAAAATACTATTGTACCAATACAAAGATCCTTAGAATTTGCAGATAAATTCCCTAATGAAATAAAAGATAAAAATCAATTACAAAGATTTTTAGGATGTGTAAACTATATTGCTGATTTTATCCCTAACATTAGGATAGTATGTTCGCCTTTGTTTAGAAGACTTAGAAAAAATCCACCTGCTTGGGATGAAAATATGACTCAAGCTATAATAAAAGTAAAAGAATTAGTAAAAAGAATACCCTGTTTAGGAATACCAGACCCAGAAGCCTTTTTAATCATAGAAACTAATGCATCTGATTTAGGTTATGGGGGAATATTAAAACAAAAAATTTCAGAATCTTCTAAAGAACAAATTGTCAGATATTATTCTGGTATCTGGCATCCTTCTCAACAAAAATATTCTATTGTCAAAAAAGAAATTTTAGCCATTGTTTTGTGTTTACAAAAATTTCAAGATGATATTTTTAACAAAAAGTTTTTGATTAGAACTGATTGTAAAGCCGCTCCAAGCGTTTTAACCAAAGATGTCCAAAATCTAGTTTCTAAACATATTTTCGCCAGATGGCAAGCATTATTATCATGTTTTGATTTTGAAATAGAACATATAAAAGGAAAAGATAATTCTTTACCAGATTTCTTAACCAGAGAATTTTTACAGGGAAAGTAAAGCATGAGTGATAAACCACTGAGTAGAGATCAATATGGTCCCCCACTGGGGCCTTCACATACAGGTATGTCAATATCACTAAGACCCAATAGTCCACAAGCTAAGGCTACCTTAGCAGAAATACTAAAAACTCCTCCGTCAATATCGAAAAGTCCTCTAGTCAATACCTCTAATAGATATACACCTTTGCAATATTCTCATACCCTTATCAGTCCAAAAGACCTCATAACCCCTTCTTCCTCATCTCGTCAAAATATCCAAACTCCTCAAACACCTTCTCAAAATGTAAACCTTCAAGATGATTATTACCTTAAACCAGAAACTTTATCAATAGTAACCCTTGAAAAATCTTGGATAAAACCAACTCCTAAACTTACTTCTCAATATCTCTTTCCTAAAGAATTTTATTATTTGCCAACAAGTTTGATTAAAGACCGTACCTTTTATGAGTTCATTTTAGTAGATACTGATTCTGCCGAAATTATCCATAAAAGAAATGAACATGGGGTTATCCAATATTCCAAATTAAAAATCCTAAAAGTCCTTTCTGCAGAAGAATGGAATAACCCTCCATATCATTTAAAAACCTTTTCCAGATCATTTAACCCACAAACCTATGATTATTATGACTATATGGATGCATGGTATAATACTTTATATGTGTATCCTGATAACCATTCTTGGTTTATTTGGTTCAAGAAAGGCATATCTTTAAAATTCCCAAAATGGTTCATAAAATGGTTTTCTCACTTTGGACCTCTCCCAGCTATTTTCCCTTCCAAAGTTACAGAAGTTTATAATTATTTCCGTCAAAAAACCTCCTTTGAACAAGGGTATAGGTTAATCTCTTTTATTGCAACCCAGTCAATAACTTGGATCGTAGCCTGGGATATTAGCATTGAACAATTATATGAGAATGCTGATATCAAGGTATTGTCAAGACAATTTAAAATTAAGTGGTGGAAGAAATTCAACTTGGACATTATCAATAAACAGAGAATTGATATTTGGCAAGCTAACTATCAGCAAAGACAAGAAGGACCTTCATCATCATCATCATCATCATTAACAACAGAGTCGTTATTTTTAGCTGAAAAACAAAGACTAATGGCCGAATTAGCCTCTGCAACAAGCATAGAAGAAATGGAAAAACTAATCAAAGAAAAGTCAACATCGAAGACTCCATCAGAAGATAGCAGTGGATACTCACAAGCATTTAATATGTTTGATTGAAGAAGATAAACATGAAGATGTCAATATCAAATAAGCTGGAAAAGAAGACAAGATAATAAAAGTCGGATGTGACATAAAGAAGAAAAGAAGATGCTCTGACAAAAAAGAAGATATGATCTCCGACAAGATAATAAAGAGAAGATATGATGCTCCGACAAGATAAGATATGAAAGAAAGAAAGATAAGAATAAGACAAAAGAAGCTGAGTCAAGAAGCATAAATGTAATAATTTAGGGTACTTTTGTAAATTAGTTTTAGGGTAGTTTTGTAAATTATTTTGTATCCAGAGAAGTCTGTTGCTCTATAAATAAGGCCTCTTAGGATAGAGGGAGGCAGAGCGAAAAATATATGTGTTGTAAATTTTATCTTTCAATGAAGTTTTCAGTTCCCTCTTCTTATGAGATTTCATCTGTAAGTCTTTCTTCTTTACAATATTTCTATACTTTCTATTATATGAATTAAACTCTTTAAATTTTGAATTTTAACTCTGATTTTCGATCCTGTCAAGATTGGTATCAGAGCCATCGTGCTCTGAAGTATTATTCATATTTGGTTTTCTTGTGGGGGGATTATTATTATTATTATTATTATTATTATTATTATTATTATTATTATTATTATTATTATTATTATTATTATTATTATTATTATTATTATTATTATTATTATTATATTCCCAATGTAATTGTTTAAGGGAATGTTACCATTGACTTTAAAATTATTAATTGTCGGCTCTCAAAATTGTAAGCACTGATTGATTGGTCTTGAATATATATATATATATATATATATATATATATATATATATATATATATACAAAAAATAAAAAACGACAATCAATTTGATAACATAAATATAAATCATATCATAAATATATTGATATACAATTAAAAGTCTCAAAAGGTATTAATTAGCTTTATCTACTATAATTACCAACACTATTTATGAATTTTCAGATAAATAATTTATGGGATGATTGTGATGTTTACTTTGTTTCAACTAAATTATAAATAACAAGTATTAACTGATAATAATTATGAATAATACAATATCTGTATTATTTTTTTCTTGTTAATAAATTAATAAGTGAAATACACATACTAATTTATTAAATACATTGTTAAAATTATTCATTGTATAATTTAATATTAGATATTTAAGATTAATTTTTCTTTTACCATTCCAACATCTTAAGTTTCGTAGATTCCCTAATTACTTCACTTATTTTATGTTTGATTTTGAAAGTAATATATAGTTTAAGTTGGATTTTTTAAGTTTGTGGACATGTGTATTTTTTATAGAATGCAAGTTTTCTTATGATATTTTATTTATATATTTTTTTTATAAAATACTAAGTATAATAAAATATTAATATTATATTTATTTTAATTATATAAATTAAAATAATGTAATATTTTGTATTTTTATAAATAATATAAAATTATATGTTAATATTTTATTTAAATAAAAATACAATAAAATATATATTTCTATTTTTTTCTTATTTTTATATTTATTTATTTAAATTTTATATTAATTATTTTTATTTTTGTTTTCTTTATTTTATGTGAATTTTTTATTATTAATTTTTTAGGACCACCTTTTTATTCAATTTCACTTTCTTGTTCTCTCACATTTCTCCTTTCTACTTACTTGTAAATAAACATATTTTTCAACATGACAAATTTTAATTTAGCTCTTAATATATTGTAATTTTTTAAAATACTACCTTTAGATTCACTTTCATAATGTTATTTCATTGACCTTTCAATTTAAATGACTTATTTTAACTTTTTTAACTTTTACAGCTTTTTTAACGTAATTTTATCTTTTACTTCCAAAATTTGTTGGTATTCTCTTTGTTATAAAACTTTTTACATCTCAAACAACTTTTTATTGAAAGATTGTTATCTTTTTTAATATTATTTTGAAGAGGATGAAATTAGATGACCAACAACTTAAAAAAGTTTGAAAAAATGACGTTAATTTAGTTGATTAATAAGATTTTACCTTTTAGCTCTTCTCATATTTTATTTTCTTATGAATATTTTGTATTTTTTAAATAATCTTAAATTTCTTTAAATAATTTTAAAGTTATTATATAAATAAAAATAATTGGTGAAACACTAAAAATAAATATATTTTTTATTATAAATTTTGAGTTAACTCATTATGAGATTTTTAAACAATACATCAATAATATAATATTCTTCTGTATTTTTTCTATAAATTAAATAATTCAATATGAAATTAATTACATTTACATAAATCGTAACTCTCATCAATAACTATACGTGATAAAATTTATTTTTTCTTCTATTATACAAATATACTTAGAACTAAAACTCTTGTCACTATTGTATTTTTTGAGAATTTTGCATATATATATTTTTTATATAAAATATATGTACTTAAAAAAGCCATATTGTAAATATTAAAGATATTTGGTATCATCGGAGATATTCAAAATTATCTGACTTCAATATATTAAAATAAGAATAGAATATATTGCTATCCTTAGATGGTTACAATCATAATTTATAAAAAAAATTGTATCTCTTTTATTTTATAAATAAATAAATGTAAACCTATTATTTGATTTACACGCTGGTTTAAACATAAATTTTTGTGTAAATATCTCTCTTAATATATCAAAAAAGAAGAGTTCCAAAATATCACAAAACTAAATAACAACAAAATATATAGTGTGTTGATATTTTCTTGTAATATTTTATTTATATTATATTATTTTCTAAATTTAATTTATGATAGAAGTATACCTAATTAAATTAGTTTATAAAAAGTAATTGATGTATTTTGAAATTAATTTCACAATAACGTACGTTTAGTTTTGGAATAACTTTAAATGAAATAATACATGTTTAAATTTGAAACAGCCTTTTTACTTTAAATTTGGTAAACGTTTAAATGAAAAATCACGTGAGTTAATAGAGGCTGCTCAAGCCAATACACGAGCGGTGACCAGTCTCGTTTTTATAAGAAGACGAAATTTTTGTCGCAAAAATCATGTATAGGTTTGACTTTTTTGCCGATTATCATAAAAAAATTGTAATTCTATTGTAAAATAATTTAATGGTTATTTCTATAAATAAAAAAATAGTTAATTTATATTTTTTTTACAATCATAAAAACCATATTTTGTAAAGACCAACCTGATTTTAGGATAGGTTATTCAAATTATTTTATAATTTTAATACTATATTTACGGATTTTTAAAGCTAAAACAACCGCATGGAAAAACATTTAAAATAATTATTTTAAATATTGATTCTGTGAAAAAGCTGTAACAATCAGAGCTGAAATTATTACCCTAATGATAAATAAAGGGCAATTGCAAATACAAAAGTCACCTTGTATTTTAATATTTAATTTGTAGAAAAATGACTACCGAGATAAGTAATAATAATTACAATTTTTTTTAAAAGTAGTAGGATTAATTGAGTAACATGTATAAAAGATAAATAAAGGCAAAATTTTAAAAGTGAGCAATATAAACAAAATGTTTAGTTTAAAGTAATCTATTATTGCATAAAATATTAATAGCGATGAAATAAAATTCCTATAAAAATTTTAATAATTTAAATTACATTGCTGATTAGCTATTCTATTTTTTCGATATATGTTTTATTATTTTGAGGATTAATTTCATACATAATTTTTTTTATCATATGTAAGCATTATATTATTATATTTTAAGTTATTATTTGATAAATAATATATTTATTATATTAATTTTAATATTTTACATTAGATGAGATATTTTAATCATTATATTTGATTTTAGCATATACTTCAATCATTAAAAATTGATTATGAAATTAATTTTGTGTATGACAGACTTTTATCTATAATTCAAAAAAACAAAACTTATATTTCATCATATTTCAACTTAAGTTTTTTATACTTTTTAATTTAAGTTTTATCCTCGTTTTCTTCAAAATTTCCTTATATATGAGATGACATTTTATATTTTTCATGTTGTTTAATCCTTAAATTTAATGAAAACAACTTTTTTGTTAAGTTGAAGTTAAACTACCATCGGAAACATATTTCAACCTTCTATTTACCTTAAGTTGCAACCATTTATTGTCTTTAAAGTTTTTTTTTTTTTTTCTGTCAAACAATGTATACAATAAAACTTATACATTCTTAAAAAAAGTTGAGATTTATTTATTTTATTATTAATTATAATGTTAATTGCGTTTGATTTTACAATTAATACTTTTTCAAGCAATTAAAAATATGAATGAATATTATTTAAGACAAATAAGTAGCAAACAATCAAATTTAAATTATAAAAGGAGAAAAATAATGTTTTATTAAGAAAAATTGAAATTTTCTTAAAAGAAGAAAAAAATAAAATAAAAGTTTTAAATAGGCAAGGTCTAAAAGATAATTAAGATAGGATTAAAGTCTAATTAATAAATATGTAAAATATAAAAACATTTAATGTAAAAAACTTTAGAGTATTTATTTGCCAGCCTAGGCAAAATTTAAAATTAATTAATATGAAAAGTTAAAATATTTTTTTATGGAAAAAAATTAATAGATTAAATAAATTTTGTGCTTTATTTTTAAAATAAACTAACACAATAAATAATAATGAGTGTATAAGAAATTTTTGTTTATCATATACAACAGAAGTACGCAAAAGAAACAAATATCCTTGAATTAAGTTGAATTTCAATATAAGAATAATTGTTTTATTATTGATGATTTTAATACAGTTATTTACAGTCTATCATAAATAATATACAATATAATAAAAAAATAGATTTCGTACAAAACCCATAAAAAAAATTATTTAAGGTAGAAAATTACCATACTAATACACCAAATTTATCTGTGAAAATCAAATAAATTAGGAAAGAAAAAACATAAATATGTCTAATAGATGTTTTTTTTAATAATACTTTCTCATTAAATGAAACTCGACAGATTTCTTAAAGAATAGAGAATTTAAATAAAATAATAACAAAAAATAAAATCTAAAAACATTATATTGGGTAGGAGAGAAACACTAATAAAATAAAATATGATTATATGAGATAATATGATATTATTACTGAGTCTTTAAAAAAAATATTTACTAAAAGAGATACATAATTGAAACATGATCCCATCTACATATTTATTCACATTTACACCGTTATTAATAAAAAATTTAAAATATTAAATTATGATTATTTATTCCTTATATATTATTAAATATTTCGTTCTTATTTAAAACTTACACTTGCATAAATATTTTTAATAAAATATAATAAAAAAAGATATTTTATCCTATTGATACAATGCATTAATAAGTAAATTTATATAATTTCATAGCTAAAATTAATTAATTTTTTATCTGTTTTTTACAATGAATTTTTTAAATTATTAATTTGGACGAATGTCTATTATTTAATATTATTATCTAATATAAATTAGAAGTTAACAAAATTTTAACCCATTCATGTTTTTTGACCTACAAAATTAATATAATATATAATCTGTAAACGATATTTTTTTTATGTTTGATTAAGATATAAAAAAGTTAAATCAATTTTTGATATATATTCATAAAATAGGATAATCTAAAAAATAACTAAGATAAAATAAAAGTCTATTTAATATACGTGTAAACCCTAATAATTAATCAATGTAAAATAAAATTTCCAGTGTTTATTTACAAGTCTAGTCAAATTTAAAAATTAAGTATCATGAAACAAAATAGATAAATTAAATATTCTGTTTTGTTTTATAAAAAAAATACCATCAAGAATGAATGAAGGAAGGATAGAGATGTCGAATAATATTAAAAGAGAGTGAATTGATTCAAGAATTTACGCAACAAACATTATTATTTTTAAAATCTATGTCCACAAATCATTAATAATAAATATTAAGATATAATATTGATGGTTTAACGTACGAAAATAAAGTAAAATAATATAAGAGAAGTAAAAGAAGAAATAAAATAAAAATAAATATAATTTTGTATTTTTTATTCAATTTTAATTAAATCAATATCTATTTAATTTTTTGTATTACTAAATTTCATCACAATGTAATATTTCATTGTAAATTAACATTATTTAAAAATAAATTAATCAAAATAAAATATAGAATAAAACAATTTTTATTAGATTTTTTAATTTTTGTTTTCATTTGGATGATTTAGTTCAAATTAAAAAATAATAATCAAATTAAAAAGATCATTATATTTAAATATATCATATATTTAAAACAATTTATATCTTAATTACCAATTAATAAACTGAAAATAGTTTTTTAAATTATTCTATAATTTGATTGTATTCTATTTATAACATATTTATATTTATACAAATCTTGATAACAATTTTGAATTATATGAGATTGTATAACTATTTATAAATATAAAAAAATATAATGATGAAAATAAGAATAATTATATACAAATTTAATAATATATTAATTTATTTTAAATTGTTTTATTATAAAATATTGAATATTTTCAAAATATATTTTATAATATTTTATTAAAATTGTTTGATATTTTTACCATGATAAAAGTAAAAAAACAACTTCAATAAAATAAAAAATATTGATTTGATTTGAGTTTTATATTAAAATCAAATCAAATAAACTGAAAGTCCTATATCATATAGAAAAAATGTAACATACTAAAATAAGACGATAAATAAAATGTTATAAAAAAGATATTGAATTTAAAAAAAATTGAGAGAATTTTAAGAAATTATTCAAACTATGATAATATTTGTAATCAATTATAATAAAAATAAGTTTTAGTCAAATTTTAATGTAAATAATGAATTTATATATTTTGACGTTATTAATAGAATACGGTTAATTAGTAAAGTTAATGAACATAAATATTATTTTGTAAAATATAAATAAACATATTTTTTAATTTCAATGATATGTGATTGAAATAAATTACTATAAAATTGGAAAACTAACTAATTAATGTCTAAAATTAACAGAAAAATAAGGAATAAATAATAAAATAATGAAAGTCGGTGATTTGGGTCTGAACAGATGTTAACGACTGATTTCACATTGTCGCATCTCATATTGCCATAGCTCAGTTGTAAACGACACATCCCGTGTTGTTGTTGCTAACCAAAACGACCCCACAACCTTTACCCAGTACAAATCAGGTCTCAACCCTCGCCCCCAAGGTCCTGTCTCTTCACCCTTCTTCGCTCTCGATCTCCCTTGGTTGACCTCTGCGTCTTTCTCCGTCGGAGTTCAAATCTCCGATCTCTCCGTTTAGATCGCAGCACCCCTGCCTTCGATTTATTCATTGCAAGGTTAGATTCCTCACTCTTCAACTACTTCAATGTCTAGGGTTCATACTTCAACCCTAGTTCACTTCTTATCTCTTATAATCACTTCTCATTCTCTAACGCTTCCCTTTATTCTAGATCTACCTGAATCTTGCCTGCATAACTCCGATTCGAAGCTTTCTACTTACTCAATTACTCTTCAGGTATAGCTTTGTAGATTTGATTCTGGTTCGTTTAAATATCAGCTATGTTTGTTCTAGATTTGTTAGGTTTTGAGATCTAAAACGATTTTTTATTTTTCATATTCTTCTTTTGCAGATCTGGGGGGTTTGATTGCATTTATCATTCTGCTGTTACTCAGATTCGGTCATAGAAAATGTCTATTTTACCGAAAGGCGATTCGGTTCAAATTAGAGAGGTTTGGAACGATAACCTGGAAGAGGAGTTTGCGTTGATCCGGGAAATTGTGGATGAGTACAACTACGTGGCTATGGATACGGAGTTTCCTGGCGTGGTTCTCCGTCCGGTGGGAAATTTCAAGAACATCAACGACTACAACTATCAAACTTTGAAGGACAACGTAGACATGCTGAAGCTGATCCAATTAGGTCTCACCTTCTCCGACGAGAACGGGAACCTCCCTATCTGTGGCAGCGAAAGTCCATGCATCTGGCAATTCAACTTCCGCGAATTCAACATCAGCGAAGACATTTTCGCCAGTGATTCGATCGAGTTGTTACGCCAGTGTGGGATCGATTTCAAGAAGAACAGCGAGAAGGGAATTGATGTGAATCGGTTTGGGGAGCTTCTCATGTCCTCAGGAATCGTGTTGAACGATGCTGTTCATTGGGTTACCTTCCACAGCGGCTATGATTTTGGTTACCTCCTTAAACTGTTGACATGCCGAACCTTGCCGGATACGCAGGCTGGGTTCTTTGATTTGATCAAGATGTATTTTCCAATGGTGTATGATATCAAGCATCTGATGAAGTTCTGCAACAGCCTCCATGGTGGACTGAACAAGCTTGCCGAATTGTTGGAGGTGGAAAGGGTTGGTGTGTGCCATCAGGCTGGGTCTGATAGTTTACTCACTTCTTGTACATTTAGAAAGTTGAGGGATACATTCTTCAATGGCTCGACGGAGAAATATGCTGGTGTCTTGTATGGTTTAGGTGTTGAGAATGGACAGACTAATTGAAAGAGAAAAAAAGAAAGAAGAAATGGATATAATTGGTTGTAGAGTACGTTTTAAGTGTGAGTCTTTTTACTTGTGTACACTTCTGCCAAAAATGGTTGTTGTTTACTTGTAACATTTTCATCATCCTTGCTTGAACTGTAACTCAAACCCTAGCTGGTTTTGTTAGCTTGAGTTCTTTGTAAATCATCACTTCAGTTTAGTGCTTCAAATTTCAATAATAATTTATGATGATTCCTTTAGTCTGCGCTGTTTGTTTTATCTAATTGTGCTCTCATCTTATTATTAATGGCCAATGTTATCTGATATCTGAAGATATGAAAATGATCCCATTTTTTTCATTGTCCAAGGTTTTACTGACATTGTTGTGCAAAAATGGAGTTCTGTCCATTTTGTTATATGAACTGCAATTATTGCTTTCTTGATGCAATAATCCGACTATGATTAGCAACAACAGGGTCGAAGCATTGCATGCTTTTCAAAGACAATAGTTTCAAGATGTGATGGATGACCTTGGTGCTTTTAGTTATTTTTCACAGGATGTATTCTTGGAGCTTTTCATTATGTCTCTCCGAATGTATTCTTTGCTCTCACACGGTATGTTAGAGGACATGACACTGTTGATACGATGATTTCATATTTTCATTCAGGAGAGCTATACATTACTTTGCCTTGGCAATTTAGCACTCTCACAGCAATGAAGAGATGACATTGCTTTGTTGTTTTAATCTTTTAAAGGATAGCATTATTTCATTTAATTTTGTATTTTTTAAATTATTATCCATTTATTGGCTACTGATCGAACTTTGATTTGAATAGGTTTGCTTGCTATTTTTGTGGACCCATCAAATTTGATTTATGAAAAAGTATTAATATAAAAATGTTATACTACAATCTTTTATCATCCCCGGCAGTTTTGAAATGTTCAGAAAAAAAATAATAATAAAAAATGACCATTTAATTTAACCTGTAATACCATATTGGGCCTATTTTAGGGAAAACATCTAAGTCGAAGTAGATTCCTTTTGGGGTAAAGGCGACCTAATTTGAAGTTTTCTTTTTCACCTTTTTTAATTTAAACACTCATACAAACATTGATTCTTAGATATTAGAATTTTAAAATTTATAAAAATATTAAGGGAAGAGTGCTTCTTTATAGTGGATAATATTTTATAAACACTTATATAAACATATTTTCTTAACTATTTTATTGAAAACAAACAATTTTTATATATATTTTGGTGGGGTGTTTGCGGTTTAACTTCAATAAATAATCATGGTTTAATTTATTTTGATTTAAGTTTAGTATATTAAATTAAATCAAATAATAGTCCACGGTTAATTTTTAAATGGTTTTACAGTTTTTGTTATTATAAAATCATTATACAATAAAATACGATTTAGAAAAAAATAATTATTATAAATTTTATAATAAAAAATTATAATTTTTTTACAACAAATATTACTATTTTTTATTTTCTTATATTTACAATTTTGTAATTAAAAATATATTAAAATCCATATTTAATAATATAAATATATTATAAATAAAATATAATCAAATTATAAAATATTTTAAAAAAAATTATAATATATTTAATTAATAATTAACTTTAAATATGTAATACTATACTTAGTTATAACAAAAAATTATTTAATTCACAATTTTTAATTGAAAATATAAATCAAATTATATAATTTAAAACAATACATAAAAAATTAGTTACTTTTTATGTGTTCAATTTTAAGCCTCTTTAATAACTTGAGTGATAGTTAATAAATAATTATTTACATAATATAAATTTGTGATAATATGTTAATGACAAAACATACTTAGGTAAATTGAGTTTTAAATCTTTTTCATTCTAATAAATTATTAAAAAAATTATCTGATAATTAAATATAAAAAAATTATAATAGTATGAAAAAAAAAGAATATCATGATAAAAAGAAAAAAAAACTAAATGGTTCAATTATATATGAATTTACATCTAATTTTAATTAAACAAGTTTAACCTGAAATTTTGCAGATTACAACCTAATATAATTTATACTGGTTAATTTTATTTATTTAAAAATCAAAACAAATTACCACCAACTTTTTTTTAATATATCTTATTATATTAATTACGAAACCAAAGATTTCCGGGTTTTATTTTTCCAAATTTTCCGGTATAAAAGGTTTTGTTCGGTTGTTAAATCTCGTCACTGTCCTGGTGAGTCGACCTTCCCTGTTTCTCCCTTCACCTCCTCTTTTTATTTTCTCGTATTTATTTATTTGTTTATTTAATTATTTATTTATTTTTCTTTCCTTTTTCTCAGCTCTCGGGGTATCGATTCCCGTGAAATTCCGAAACTCCTTTTCCAGATCGGCGGAAAATATTGCAATCTACGGTACTTATTGTTTTCCATTTTCATTTCACACTTCACTTCGGTCACTGTTAGCTTTGAAAATAGCTGATTAGCTTGCAAATCCCACTAGAAACCATCTCAGAAAATAGTAGACGGGTTTTGATTAATCTAGGGTTTCTGTTTTGCTTTTGTAAATTGGAAGTCCTTGGATAGCTTGCATGTCCGCAAGAAATGAACACATTAACAATTTTGCTTTTGTAAATTGGAAGTCCTCAGATACCTACCTTGCATGTCCGTGCATGTGCATATTCTCCTCTGTAGTTTTCAGTGACGAATTGTGTGCGGAAACAATTTTGCGCACATTGTTTTGTGCGATGTTTTCTCGTTTTAACAGTTTTGTAGTCCATTTAAGTTGTTTCGTTTAAATGTTCTCTGGTGTTTTTGTTCTGAACAAACTTCATATGTAGACTCACTGATACGGAGTGCCTTGACTTAGTTGTTAATTTATATATGGTGGTGAGGGATTAGTTATATGTTTACTTTATTCATTTTATCAACAGATACTTTAAATGTTTTTCTCATTCAGTGTTTTCAGTCACATTTTGTGAGCTATTGAACCACAATCCTTAGTAAAGAGCAGAAATAGTTACTGAAATTTATTTGGAGAGAGGTATTGTGAAAGCACATTTTTTTTTTCAATGAAAGACTTTTTACTTAATATGTACCAAATAGTAAGTTTTGATAAACAATGTCTCAGAGTTGATGATTCAGCTGTCAAAGCATAGAAACAATTCAAGTCCCTCTCTTTCTTTTGTATTGGATTTGGACCTTTCTAGAGGACTACTTTGCAAAATAATTATGTATCTCCTGGAAACAGAAATCAATTATCTAGGTTTCTACTAATTTAATCAAAAATTCGAATTCACTTATATATCTAAGGACTAAAATATTTTTATTTCTATAAGTTTTAGGTAATCCCTTTTAAATTTTATCCCTCATTACATCTGTCATAAAACAACATTTAAGGCATTTGCAAGCATTTGCATTTATTTGCTTAACTATATTTTCAGCAGCTTTGTTGGCATTATGTGGGTAAAACATTTTTTTGGAATGAAAAGATATTAAAGGATAATATTTTTGCCCTTCAAATTGGGGCTTCCGGGTTTTTGATCCCTTTGTTTCTGAATATAAATCTAGTATTCAATTACATCCCAAGAAATAATAAGTACTTGGTGGGCTTGTACTTGGAAACTCCCTATCTGTCAATAGAAATGTTTGACCTGTTTCCACAGTAATGTATCCTATGATTTTTTAATGTGTTAATAGAGCATAATAAAACATTCATGTTATTCTATCCTCTAAAAAAGAGACAAACATGAGATTTTTTTTTTTTTTTTTCCAAACATCCTCTGTCCGTTATGATTTGTCTACTTTCAATCTTTTATTTTGAATACCAATGCTAATTACATAAATTTCTGTTTAGTTCATTATTATCAGGTCTATTTGAAAATAGACCTCAATTCAAAAGGAAGAACCAGTAAGAGACATAAAATCATCCATATTTGTTCTATATTTGTTTGGATAAAATGCTTAGCTAATTTTATGTATCAAACACAAAAATTCTTCCCATTCATTTGTCTGGGGTCCCTCTTTCCCTAAATCTTTCCAATCTATCAATGAAGAATCAATAATAATTCTCAAGTACAGATCAGCCAATTGTTCTCAGATATCACTTGAAATTTCTCAATTGATTTTTCCCATTTGATGATTCTTGGTTCATTAGAAAAACATCACTGAAGGTTTGGTCGATAGAATCAACTCATAATTCTTTCTTTTTGTTTACTTCAGGATTTCTATCATTTTAGCTGAACATGAGTAGTTTGGTGGAGAGACTTCGTGTGAGATCAGATCGAAGGCCAGTTTATAATCTTGACGAGTCAGACGATGATGCTGATTTTTTGCCAAGAAAGTCTGGGACAACTCAGGAAAAGTTAGAGAGGATAGTGAGAAGTGATGCGGTATGTTCCTTTTGCTTTAATGATTTTATATGAGCTAGTTTTGTATATAGTTCACTGCTCTGGTCAATGCTTTAGGTGGTAACTAATAAGCAATATTTTATTGTAATTAAAGAAACTCATACTTGCTTGTGCTGTTGCCATGTATTAGAATTTTTAGAAGTCGTTGATAAATTTCTTGCCTCAGTAAGTTAGAGATGCCGTTGACTACACTAATATAGCTTATTTTGCAACATAGATTTAACCCACTCCGAGAATGGAGTTGTCTTAGCTTCTTATAACGATCTGATTATGGATATTTAAAAATTAACGCTTCCCTTTGTTTGATATTGAAAGAGATTTGCAACCCTTGCTTACTTGATACATTTTTCTTGTTTTTTCTTTTTTTGGTTTTTTTCATTTATTTGGTTTGTTTATTGAGGCTATTAGTCTATTGTCTACAAAGTTCCTTTATTCAGTTATAAAATAATGAAGGTTTTATGTTATGTATGCATTAAGAATGTATGCTTTTGTTAGTAGTAACAATGACGGTTGAAGTCTATCTGTATGTGATTCACTCACAAGCAACTCTCTAATGGAACACTTAGGCACACACAATTTATTTGCTTTAAACAAGAATCCATTATGCCTAAAATAACCATTTTTAAAAAACCTTTCACATGCAGCAAAAGTTTCAGCAAAATCCACATCATTCACATACATGTCTTTCAAAGATTCAAGACCAAACAATTTAGTTTCAAGCATAGAAAGTAATGCATGTCTCCTAGAAAGTGCATCAGCTACTACATTCCCTTTTCCCTTTTTATGCTTGATGACATATGGAAATTGCTCCAAGAACTCAACCCATTTGACATGCCTCTTGTTTAACTTACCTTGTCCCTTTAAGTATTTCAAAGATTCATACATTTAGCATTTTAATATAGTTTGCTTCATTGCAGATTTGGGGTTATTGTTTTACACTAATGAATGATTTGCACACATTCCCCTCCCCTGTTTCAATTTTTCCCTCCTTCTCAACAGAAAGAGGATTTATGTCAAGCCTGTGGAGAAAATGAAAATCTTGTGAGCTGTGAAACTTGCACATATGCATACCATCCTAGATGTTTACTTCCACCTCTTAAAGGCCCCCTTCCAGACAATTGGAGATGCCCTGAATGTGTAGGTGTTTATATTTTGTAACAATTGTAATAGATTTCTTCTTTACTGAAAGGCAATACTTATCTATGTGTTTGTGTGTGTTTATATTTTACAGGTTAGCCCACTTAATGATATTGACAAGATATTAGATTGTGAGATGCGACCTACTACAGCTGCTGACAATGATGCCACAAAGTTAGGGTCAAAGCAAATTTTTGTCAAACAATACCTCGTTAAGTGGAAGGGCCTATCATATTTGCATTGCACATGGTAAATTTGTAGGAACTCATCTTTACAGTGTTACAGCGTTCCATATGTCTAGTAAACCTTCTGGATGCTTTCATGTGCTACTTTCATTCCTCAATTTTGTTCAATCTATTTATGAATTGACTTAATTTTTTTTTAATTTTGAGTATTATTGTACATGTTATTTTGCTTTTAAAGCCTCCATTTAAGATTTTCCTTTTCTTTAAATCATTTTGATATTTTGGGTATTTTCTACTTACCTGCCACATATGTTTTTTCTTTAGGGTGCCGGAGAAAGAGTTTTTGAAGGCATTTAAGACTCATCCTCGTCTAAAGACAAAGGTGAACAACTTCCATCAGAAAATGGCATCTGTCAATACTTCTGACGATGATTTTGTTGCCATTCGACCCGAATGGACTACAGTTGACCGAATACTTTCTTGCAGGTATTTTAGGTGACAGTTAGAAAGTTTAAGGGATTCTTGTGATGTTGTTGTGTTGCCTAACTTATGCGAGGGCAGATTCAAATTATCATTCTTGATTTTAGTTGTGTGTATTATGTGCATGTATGTAGTCATAATGTCACAGCTTTTACGGTTAATATTTTCAGGCAGGAGTTTTCATTTTGCTCTTAGAGTTTCGTTTACTCTTCCCCGCATTTATACATGATGAATTGTACTGGAGTCTATCCTAGTCCAGCAATGGAAAATAATATAATAATATCAGCTGAAAGTAAACTCTTTTGGTATCTCTTTTAGAGGATATCTACAATGTCTAATTGTATTTTCTGTCTCTTGTTTTTGCAATTATCTTTCATTTTAATGCCCCACTACCCTAAAAAATAAATGGCATCATTTTTTGTGTGATGGATTATGAGAAAATGATGACACTGCTATGTGCAACATAGTGTCTTGATAGTTTCCTTAATCTTTGCTCTATATCTTCCTCTAAAAACGCTGATAAATGTATGTTTTCATTGAACGAGTTGTTTAAATGGTACAGGGGTGATGATGATGAGAGGGAGTATCTTGTGAAGTGGAAGGAGCTTCCGTATGATGAATGCTACTGGGAGTTTGAGTCAGATATTTCTGCATTTCAGCCAGAAATAGAAAGATTCAATAGACTTCGGTCTAGATCCAGTAAATTTTCTTCCAGTAAACAAAAACACAGTGTTAAGGATGAAACTGAATTGAAGAAACAGCAGAAAGAATTTCAACATTTTGAACATAGCCCTGAGTTTCTTTCAGGTGGTATGTTATTTTAACATATTTATTCTTCTGGAAATATTATGTTTCATGTTTATCTTTTTAGAATTGGATGGTCTGGATTACATGGTTTAATTTTTATCTTGGTGAAGGTACATTGCACCCATATCAGCTTGAAGGCTTGAACTTCTTACGATTCTCTTGGTCCAAGCAGACTCATGTTATACTTGCTGATGAAATGGGACTTGGTATGTAGTTTGTGTTTCTTTCTTTCTCTATCTTTTTATCCCATTCTTACCTTTTGGTTTTTAAAAAGTTTAGGGGGATGTGATTCTACACCATTCCTGAAGCAAGGGCATGCTACAAGGCTCAAAGAGTTTAGGTGCATGCCCCAGCAGCACGATAAAGTTTGGAAGGTGTACATGTGAAGGAAGAAAGAATAAGATAGAGTGAGTTAGTTAAGAGATATGCAGGGGATGATAGAGAGTTAGTTAGAAATATCTTGTATAAGTAGGAGGATACAAGAGAAGAGAGGGTATCGAGATTAACAAATTTTTGGAGAATAAAGCAGTGGTCTGGTTGTAGAAGGGGGAAATCCTCGGAGGACAGATTTTTTCCAGTTATTGTTAATAAAAGTCGCTTAGTTATTTCATTATATGTTTTGGGTTCATAACAATTATGGCTTTTAGTGGTACATAGCTAAACTTTTCAATCAAAGTGCATTGATCCATGTGAGCGGAACCAACCCTGTTGAATCTAGATCCTCCTTTTACTGTTTGTTTTGGAATTTCTTGAAAAGTATATTATTGCACCATGATAGCCAAGTTTTTCACCTGCAGGAAAAACTATACAAAGTATTGCTTTCCTGGCATCCCTTTTTGAAGAGGGTGTCTCCCCACATCTTGTGGTTGCTCCACTTTCAACTCTGCGAAATTGGGAACGGGAATTTGCAACATGGGCACCTCATATGAATGTGGTATGTTTACTTTGATTTCTCATTTTTATGTATATTAGGTAGTTATTCTTTTAAACATATGTTTGTTTGTGCAGCTAATGTATGTTGGATCTGCCCAAGCTCGTAGTGTTATAAGAGAGTATGAATTTTATTTTCCAAAGAAACAGAAGAAGATCAAGAAAAAGAAATCTGGTCAGCTAATTAGTGAAAACAAGCAAGACAGGATTAAATTTGATGTTCTTTTGACATCGTATGAGATGATCAACTTTGACACTACATCACTAAAACCTATAAAATGGGAGTGTATGGTATGATTCTCTTTGCCATTATGTTTCTGATGCCTCTTTTACTAACCATTCTCATTTCTGGTTTCTTTGTGATGCTGATAGCATGACATCTAAATGTGTATATGTAGATAGTTGATGAAGGTCACCGTCTCAAAAATAAGGATTCAAAATTATTTTCTTCACTGAAGCAATATTCTAGTAGGCATCGTGTTCTCTTGACAGGAACTCCTCTTCAGGTTTGTTCTAATTTTTCATTGTGGGATTATGCCCAAAGTTCTGTTATTGATTATTTTAATCATATTTTTGTTGTGTTTGCTGGCTAGATTTTGTATGTAAATTGAGTTGTAGTTTTGGCTAATACTATGCTCCATTTACAGAATTTGGGTTGTCCCATTAAAGGATTGTTGAGTTTCGAATTGTGCATATTTCCCATTAAAACATGTATTGAGGTTTTAATATATATGCAACATGAGATTCCTTGATTGTACAATCAATCAGGATAATTCTTTTGGAAATTGTCACTCTGATATGTGTGTGTGTATGTATTGGCCAATAGTTTTAATACAGTGAAAATCTTGTATTGGCCAAGTCATGCACGTTCAGGTTGTACCTGACCCAGTTTTGAAAATCTTGATTTTAGGTTCAATTTCTTTTTATAAGTTTGCAAAGAGAAAATAATTCCGTGTCATCATCCCCGAGTCAGAATATAAAAATGACTACATATAGTTGGTCCCCACTCATCACGTTTGGATTTGCTCCAGCATCTGCCTCTACCCATTGCTTTGTGCCTCCTCCCACAGTGCTGCCTCTACCTCAACCTAGAGATGGTTCCCCTTGCCTCTATTGAGTATTCTTTTAGTAGGTTGTGCTCACAACGTTGTCTCCTCTCATGCCCTCTACCCCTTTTTTGTTGTTTAGTTGTATGCCCAGTTGGGTGCAATGGCTCAAAGATAAAGAGGGGAATCGATGCCACTTTCTTTGTACTGGTTATTTTGAACTTTACATGGTTGTTGGTGTTTCAGTTTATGAATGATTTGTTTGGCTTTATAATGCTAATATCTATGTTTTAAATGTTTGTTCATGTGAAAATAATGTTATTTCGATTATTTGATCATGCTTCTTACTATTTATAATGAGGTTTGATTATGATTTAGAAATCACATCTTCTGATTTGTGTTTTGAATCTTGATTTGATAACCTTGAATAATTAACATAATGTGAATGTACTTGGAAAATGGCGAAGGATAAGTCTATGTGAAGGTGCAGCTCTCTACTGTCAAGAGGTTGAGCTTTCTCAACTTTAGGTGAACATTGCAACACACCTTTGTTTATTTGTCAACAGTTAAATAAGTCAACTAAAAAGTAGATTCCACCACCAATACGAGCTCAACCTCTTCGTAAATTTTCCATTTTTTTTAAAAGAATACTTTAAGTCAAAATATTGAATCACCTGAAGATTTATAAAGCCCATCCCTTATGTGAAAATTAACTATGAGATTTTGTATTTTATCTGTGTTCACAGCAACAGTTATATGATTTTTTTTAGTAGTAAATTAATTTCTGTTTCGTTTCTGGGTTATGAACTCTACTTGTCTGGTACTTTGGACCTTCTAATGCATATTGTTTATTTGAAGTGTGGTTGCATATCTGTTGGAAATTGAAACATACTAATGACAGCTTGTCTGATGCCCCTCTCAGAACAACTTGGATGAGCTTTTCATGCTTATGCATTTCCTTGATGCTGGGAAGGTTAGTATGAGGAATGTTCTATAAGATAAATCATGATTTTATGTTATTGAATTTGCTGATGAAACTTGAGTATCTATGGACTTATTTTTGAATATTGGTAGTTTGGAAGTTTAGAGGAGTTCCAGGAAGAGTTTAGGGATATCAATCAAGAGGAGCAGATTTCAAGGCTTCATAAAATGTTGGCTCCACATCTATTGCGAAGTATGTATTTTTTCTTATGCTTATTTTATGTTGTTTATACATGTTTCTTACTTGAAAATGGCAAACTTGGTTTTCTTGCCACCTTTGGTAAAACCCAGGTTTTGTGATACTTCACTTCAATTTGTCAAATACCTGATCTTTGATGTGAAGAAGTTTTTATTGTAAAGAACACCCTAGAATTTTGTTTCATATTCACTTTAGGAGCATGAACTGCATCAAGCTTATCAGTCAATATTAAGTGAATGACTTCATGTTGATTCTCCTTTCTCAATCTGTACTCTGAAGTAATATTGTTCTTGTAGAACCTATTGTTTGCAATCATTCTTGACTGAAATGATAGGATACTTGTAGAAGTTGTTGATGTTTTTATGCATATAGGATGTTTATCTATCTCTCAACCAGAAGGAAAGTAATTGGCTATTATTATAGTAATTGAAGTTATTGGAATGATACATATTTGAATTGGTCCATTGATCTCTTGAATTTTCTTAGTCAGAGACTGATGTTTAATTGCTGAAGGATCATAATATTGTTTTGTTTATTGCTAGGCCTCTAAATTGAAGTTCAGAGGGATACTGTAGTATTAGATAAATTTGATGTGGTGGTTTTAATTTTTGCATTCATTGAAATTGCAAGAGAGCTCTCGGAGACCTGGTTATAAATTGTTGTGTCGTTCTTGTTTAAATTAACTAAGTAGGTGATATTTTGTTTATAGAAATGTGAATTTGCAAGATGTAAATTCAAATTTTTAATGTCCCTGCAGGAGTGAAGAAAGATGTCATGAAGGAACTACCTCCCAAAAAGGAACTTATTCTACGCGTTGAATTAAGCAGCAAACAGAAAGAATATTATAAGGCAATTTTGACCCGTAATTATCAGATATTAACCCGTCGTGGTGGTGCTCAGGTAAGTTGATGCTTTAATGAACTGACTTTTATGCTTTCTACTAATCTTAGCTTCATAAGTAAAGAGACAAAACATCTTAACATTATTGGTGCGTGTGTTTTATATCTCTACGGTTTTGAATCAGATTTCTCTTATCAATGTTGTTATGGAATTGCGGAAGCTTTGTTGTCATCCTTACATGTTAGAAGGAGTTGAACCAGATATTGATGATGCAAAAGAAGCATACAAGTAAGCTCTAATGTCATTCTTTTAGAGTGTCATCATGCTTGTTGCTTAGAAATACTGGGTTCTCTGCTTATTTGGGGCTAAATCATGTTTCTTTACTATTGAAAATTAGTAGTTTTTTCAAGTTGTAACTTTGAACTATGTTGAAATTAGGTTATTTTGCTGAAAGGCATTATTTTGGTATAATTTTTTCTATACTTGGATTTAATTAATATTCTTATTGATTTTCCTTTTCATTTCCATTTTGCAGACAGCTACTTGAATCGTCAGGGAAGTTGCAATTGCTGGACAAGATGATGGTCAAACTTAAAGAGCAAGGACATAGAGTACTTATATATTCCCAATTTCAGCACATGCTGGACTTACTTGAAGATTATTGTACTTACAAGGTATTATGAGGTTATTGCAATGTCAACATAATGGTCTCTGAAGTTGATTGCTTTCAGTATAATATTCAGCTGTTTTTTTTTTTAAAAACTAGAATTGGCAGTATGAAAGGATTGATGGCAAGGTTGGTGGAGCTGAAAGACAAGTTCGGATAGATCGTTTCAATGCCAAAAATTCTTCAAGATTTTGCTTTCTTCTTTCTACTAGAGCTGGGGGACTGGGGATAAACCTTGCAACTGCTGACACAGTTATTATATATGATAGGTGAACTTTTAAATTTCTTTCATTTTTTTTTTCCTTTAAATTACCGTCTAAAGTTATAATTTTGGGTTAAAACATAAAATATAACTTCACTTTTCGCAATTACTTCTCCAATATTCAATATATTCACATTTTCTACTGGCCAAACAAATGAAAATAGTTGCGAGATATTTTATTGGTTGCTGGTCATTCATTGGCATTGTCCATTGTGTGTCTTGTGTTGATTTTCTCTTTCAATTATTTATTGCTATTTTTTGTGTTGTTTTTCTTTATTCTTATTTTTGGGATTGACACTTTTATCGGTCATACACGAGTTGTGACGGAGTTATCATAAGTTCTACTCTTTTAACCTATTAGACTGGCAATAGCCTACTTGAGTATGACAGATGAACTGCTTTGGGTTGGTTAGCTTGTAAGCATGTGGTATTCATATATGGTTACAGAAAGTTAGCTGGTATTCAATCATGTTATTTTGCTTTTCTATATATAAGGTTGGTTGGGTTGCCTCTAATTTTTTATCGAATATTTTTTAGTGTTTTTGGAAAGATGCTGTCAACTGAGTTTCTGGATGCTACTTCTAAATGAGGTCCAAAATGATGAAGCATAAATTTAAAGGAACACAGAGCTCTCTTGAGCAGATCCTTTTGTATATGTTTTGCCTTCTCCTGCTTAAAGATATGAGGATAGATGTAATCGGATGTTCTATGATTGGATAAGGATGTCTGATTTATATCAAAAGGGAATTCAAGATTCTTGCATTGCTTGTTCTAGTATACTGTGGCTATTTTAAGACCTGTTGTTTGTGTTGTGTTTTTCAAAGTGCTTTTTAATTAAATAGCATGTTTAAAAATCTTACAATGTTTATATAAATTATTAAAACAATCCCTCAAAAAAGCCCAAAATTAATAGCTTCTGAAGACAAGCTTTATAGAACTATATCATGTATAATCACTTCTTTTTATTCTTAAACAATTCCCCCTAATTTGAGTAAACGTGCAGTAGTTCCAGCACATACACTGGCATTTTCTACTTTAATTCATGAGCACCTCCAGAATGCTTGGTAAATTGTTCTGCACAATGAATATTCTCATTTTCCTGCTCCCATGTAATGCATCTTTACAATGGAGTGGGGAAGTATGCTCTGTGACATCTGGGCTGAAGTGAAACAATGGGGGGTCCTCATCATAGTCCTTTTTTTGTTGTGTGCGGACAATCTATATGATGCTGAAAGATTAATCTTTTTGTTCTGTGTAATTTATTCTAATTTTTCATTTAACTCATTCATTGAAACATTATTATGTAGTGATTGGAATCCTCATGCTGATTTACAAGCTATGGCTAGAGCTCACCGACTTGGACAAACTAACAAGGTTTAAGGTTTTTCATTGACATGTAGTGTTGATTATTTTTGTTGCTTTTTAAATGTCATAATGGCTTTGGTTTTGTAGGTGTTAATTTATAGGCTTATAACACGAGGAACTATCGAAGAAAGGATGATGCAGATGACTAAGAAGAAAATGGTGTTAGAACACCTAGTTGTGGGAAGGCTAAAGGCTCAAAATATCAACCAGGTAACTAATAATTTTTTCACCTTTGTGTTGTAATGGATGATAACAGTTAGCAGTCTCGTTATTAAGGTAGCATGAATTATGATTAGTTAGCTGCTTTTTGCTTGTCTTCTTTGCTTGTTTTTAGTGTTGATTTGAATTGCAGGCACAAGGTCGAAAGAATGTTGACAAATAATTTAACATTAGACACTGAAATATTGATTTTTTGTTATTCATGCATGTAAATTTGTTGTCATTGTTCGTAGTCACTGATCACATGTTTATTTCACCTTCTAGTCACAATATGACCTATTTGTTCGTATATTTTTATGTAGTTGTACTGGAACATGCGCATAAATTAATTTTATTCTAATTAATCAAGTAAGATGGGAAATAAGAGATGCTAGATAATTCCACACAAGCACGGAATAATTACCAACCTACCATATCTCTCTTCCCTCCTATCATTGCTATTAATCAATTACCTCCCTTTCCCACTGTTGAGATCTGCTGTTCATGTATCTTTTTGTATGTTCCTTAGACTAGGGTTAAGGGTTTAGGCTGACACCCATATCCACTTTATTGTATTTCCTTTTCTATAAATACAATGTAACAGTGTTTTTGGTGAGTGTATCAAACCCTCAATAAATTTTCTCAAGTCCCTCATTCCTTGCATCACATGCAAGAGCCCTTTACTATCCAAATCTTCCATCCGCTCCTTACCTTACATTGTGCTCCACCCCATTTTTTATTAAGTTGAATTTTGGCTCAAGGTACTATGTAAGTCATCCACGCTTCAATCCCAAAGCTCCAAAGGCCATTGTATGAGTGTTGTGTTAAATACTATATTAAAACCATTTGTTTGTCTTTACACAACAACTTAAGATCTCTTCAGGATTGCTGTTTCATGACATTTTTTTCTTGATAGAGGTTCATATGGAGGAAAAGGACTGTAATATGTAGTGTGGCTGTTGATTTAGGACCTAGATTCGTATTCCTGTTGGAAAGGAGAAGTACTATAAGTGAGAATAAGGCCTATATCCTTAAAAAAGATGATAAAAAAAAGTGATACAGGTACATCAACAAAGTAAAGCACTCTATTCTCTGTGCATACCCAAAGTTAATTCATATGGATATCAGTGATTGACCATGTTTGAATGCACTAAAATCCACAATAAAAAAGCTTATTTCAGAATACAAAGTTCATACATTTCATATTGAAAACACTTTAATCTTTGTACATGTTTTATGATTTGATGGTAGCTTTCGATGTTTGGTTGTGCGTAGGAAGAGTTGGATGATATCATAAGATATGGATCGAAGGAGTTATTTGCAGATGAGAATGATGAAGCCGGCAAATCCCGCCAGATCCATTATGATGCTGCTGCTATTGACAGGTAAATAAGCATTTTCTTTTCAAACTTGAAAATAGGAATATGCTTGAGAAATTTTTTTCTTGTATATTTTTCTTTATAACAGATTGCTGGATCGTGATCAAGTTGGAGATGAAGAGGCTACGTTGGATGATGAGGAAGAAGATGGATTTCTGAAAGCGTTCAAGGTTTACTGTGTCATTTTTTCTTTCACATTCATTTTTGTTCTCTAAATATTTATTCAACTTCGATTATTCACTTTGGTTTCTAGTTGATTGAGAGATTCACTTGGTTTCTACTATCATTTATCATTTGATAGTAACAATAGTTTATGGAATTAGAGACACTTATAAATCAATAAAAAAAAAAAAACTTGATTTGGCAAGTAGAATGTGATTGGAAGATCCACTGACTCCTATTTTTTTTATTATTATTTGATTTTGTTTTTAAAGCATTTTCTGGCCTGACTTCAGAATTTGCGATCATTGATGCAATGCTATTCTGCTGCTGTTGTTGCATCTTACGTAAATTCAGAAGAACTAATATTCCTAATGGTTTCTTGAAGTAAAGGTTCTTAATTTAGGAAAAACTTGTAACAGAAGTGCTTGCAATTCTTGATGATGGAGAACTCTGCCTCCATTACCTTTTCGTGCTATGTCAACAGCAATTTTACCTTTAATACAACAAATAACTGCATGAAATTTATTTAACATTTTTCTTTTCATTTAGTGATTCTGTTTGGGTTCTATGCTTTTGGTTGACTGAGTGGATTCCACAACGTAGGTTGCAAATTTTGAGTATGTTGACGAAGCTGAGGCTGCAGCAGAGGAGGCAGCACAAAAAAGAGCAATGGAGGCCCTAAACAGTTCAGAAAGAACACATTACTGGGAGGAGTTGTTAAGAGACAAGTATCAAGAGCATAAAGTTGAGGAGTTTAATGCCTTGGGAAAAGGGAAGCGAAACCGGAAGCTGGTATGTAATCCTACTATTTATACCAATTTGTAGAGTAAATTACACTCCTTATGAGGGATACGAGTATTACATTGTCCTTATCTCTTGTTTAAAATATATACTCCCTTTTTTGGCAGATTCAAGCATACAACAATTACTCTTTTATTTTTGTTAAAGTTTCATTAGATTGAAAAGTTCTTACCAAAATATTATTTACACTACCATATTGTAAGAATTGCAAATATTACACTACCTTGTTCTATTGTATTAAGATATATACTCCTCTTCCTTAACAGATGCAAATATTCTGAACTTCTTCATTTTTTGCATTTTATGACTGAAATATATTTTAGTCTTCTACCTTTAGAAGTTTAAATATTATATTTTTCTCTTTTCTTATTTTAAGATATACAATTTTCTTTTTTAATAAATTAAAATATGCCACAATTTTCATTTTTTTTTCTATAAAAATATAATGATTTTTATTTTAAAAACTGTTTGACCTGAAAATCATTTATTTATATATTTATGCATTTTTTTCACAAAAGTACATTTAATGTTACTAAATTGTTTGGTTTTTGTAATACACTTTTGGTCATAAATTCTTTCTCCATTGATAGTCTTTTCTAGCTTTTTCGTGTACTATTACTAACAACAGGTTAGACATTTTGCCTCTCCCAAAGTGTTTAATTTGTTTGATACCCATTAGGAAAGAAACAATGCTGATGTGTATGTAATAATTAATTTTTTAGGACCTAGAGCTTGTGAAGGATGTCTTGGTAAACTTAATTTTTTGTAATATTATTTAATTAAAAAATATTTAAAATCTTTTGAGGCATATTCTTTAGCAATGTTAATTAAATGGACAAGTGATACTTATCTCGAGAAGAGAGTGTAATTACTTCCATGATGTCAAGTTAAATGGCTTAAACTATAGATTTTAACATGAGGGGAGGATAATGTAATACTGATATATCAGGAGAATGTGCAGAGGAAAGATTAATTTTTTTTTTTTCATATATGGAGTTATTGTAAGATTCTATTTAACTGTGTCATTGTATGTTCTATTTGCTCACTGGTGTAGCTTTCAATCCTGTTAAATAACTCTCTCCCTTCCTCCTTCTTTTTGTTTTTTGTTTCTACAAAACCCTTTTATGGGTTATTCATGCTTAAAATATATCCACCTATAACAGGTTTTTCTTTATTTTATTTTTCTCTTCTTCCTTCCATTTCTCTCTTTTTCTCTGTTTTTTCTTCAAATTTTCCTCATCTTGTTTTATTCCTTATTCTTACTGTAGCTATTCAGATTCTTGATCCTCTCTATGTTTGTGTGATCTAGTTTTTTTAAATTTAGTTTTTATACATATATTTATTATTCTTTTTTGTCTGCTGTTGGGCTTCCTGCCATCTGCCATATTTATATGGTGGTTTTTTGGCTCACCACCATTGGCTGCAATGAATCTACTATTGATAACCTTGGTTTATTTGTTTTCCTCTAACTATATGACATGCTAATGATTTATTTTCGTCTAGTATTTGAGCCTAATGGTGTATTGTGATCTATGTAGCTAACTTTACCAAGTGGAATAAGGTATTGTTGTTGTATATTGACATCCTAGGTTCTTCACACTTGGAAGTTTGTTTTTGTTTGTCTGGAGGGGGAAGGTTTTTAGGGTTTAATTAACTTTGTCTTTTCAGTTCCCTTTGTGTATCTTTTTCTAAGGTTGCTTTTATTAAGATAGTATCTATTATTCCCTGATTTGCCAGATGGTTTCTGTGGAGGAGGATGACCTTGCTGGTCTAGAAGATGTAAGCTCTGATGGTGAAGATGATAATTATGAAGCAGAACTTACTGATGGTGATTCAAATTCAAATGGAACTGGAACTACTACAGCTAAAAGGCCTTATAAAAGAAAAGCCCGTAGTATGTATCAGTATTGAATTCGTTTTTTAGTTTTTTTATTGATATGATGGACCTAGATTATCTGTTTGTGATGTTGATAGTTATTTAATTTATTAACAGCTGATAGCACAGAGCCACTTCCTCTGATGGAAGGTGAAGGAAAATCATTCAGAGTCCTTGGTTTTAATCAAAATCAGAGGGCTGCATTTGTGCAAATTTTGATGAGGTTACTTTCTCTACATTTTATGTGTTTAGTTGAAGAAGGATTTCATATGACATGACCATATCTGTAGTTTATCTCACCCTCTCTGTATTGCAGGTTTGGGGTTGGTGATTTTGACTGGAAGGAGTTTACTTCCCGCTTGAAACAGAAGACTTATGAAGAAATCAAAGAGTAATAACATTTTTCTTTGATCTAATACCAAATTTGGGATTTTGTAGACAATAAGTTTTTATTTTTATGCTCTCTTTTTTTTCACTGGACAAAATTGGGGTGGATTTGATGTCATCTCTGCCACCGTGCCAATTCATTCCCAACATGACGCACAAAGTAGTAACCATTAATAGACACAAATGGCGTTCCATTGTTTTGTCTTTCCTTTTACTTTATCTTTTTTGTTCGGTTGCAGTTTGTTACTTCCAAATATTTTGGCCTCTGGAAAAAATTTAAAGATGGTTAAATGTTGTGAAAGAATAGTATTATTCCTTTCGCCAAATCCTGCATGATAGTATACCCTTCAAGTTTACTTTAATGAGAAGATGAACAACCTTTGCAAAATAGCATTATGTTTGTTACCTTTTACTATACGATGTGAACTTTTTCACTCTTTCTTTCTTCTCTTTCTTTGTGCCCTTCCATATTAGGTGTGGTAATTATTTAGATACTGTACGAATATGATATGTATTTTTAACATTTTTTAATAACCTAAAGTCTTTCTCTGGAAATGAGTTGATATAATTTATTTTTTGTTTCAGCTATGGAACCCTTTTCTTGTCCCATATTGCTGAAGATATAACTGATTCCTCTACATTCACAGGTGATAGATCTTATTTGCTATCAGTATATTTTCCCTCATTCGCCAATCACTTTCGCTTTCTCTTTTTTTTTTCTTATCTTAAAATTTTTCAATTTTTTTCTCTTATAATTTTCCTGCAGATGGTGTACCAAAAGAAGGATTACGAATCCAAGATGTACTTGTTAGGATTGCAGTCCTGCTTTTGATAAGGGACAAGGTAAGTTTTGACTGAACCTTCTGTATTTAAACTGTCATTATTACTATATTGTGTCGTCTGATCTTGCTGCAATGGAATAGGTTGGTAAGAGTTTAAGAAAGGCATTCTTTGGTAAAAAAGGGAAAATATATTTCTAGTTTCCGTACAATTAACCACTCAATTAGATTGCAAGGTGCAAAAAATGGTAAATGGGTCACCACATAATTCACTGTTTGAGTGGTTAGTTGTTCCATAGTAAGTCACCACAATTGAATGTATGTTTTTAAAATTAAACGCCCTCTAGCTGATTTGGCTTTTTACTCTTGGGATGTGGAATGACAGGTGAAGTTTGCGTCACAACATCCTCAGACTCCATTATTTTCGGATGACATCTTATTACGCTATCCAGGTTTGAAGGGTGCAAAGATATGGAAGGAGGAGCATGATTTGGTTTTGTTGCGTTCCGTTTTGAAGTATGTATTTTAATACAGCTTGTATTTTCTTAAACATTACAATAAATGATATCTTCTAACTATGTGATGTTAGCCATTAAAAAAAATGTCAATTTAAATACCATAAACATAATGTCTAATATACATAAGTGTGTTTTTGCATGCTCATTTTTCTATCTCCTTTGCTATGTTTGACTTTATTTATTGTGATAGTTTTTGGTACTTGGAAGTTTTCTAGTTTTATAATTTGTATGGATTTTTTTTATTGATGTATTCCTTAAACATTATTCTTTCTTCTATATAAGGCACGGGTATGGAAGATGGCAAGCTATTGTTGATGACAAGGATCTGAAAATTCAGGAGGTCATCTGTCAGGAGTTGAATCTTCCCTTTATAAACTTACCAGTTCCAGGACAAGTCGGTTCTCAGGCACAAAATGGTGCAAATTTGACAAATGCAGAAGTACCTAACAGTCAATCCAGGGAAAATGGAGGGAGTGATATACCAGCTGATGGTGCGCAAGGTTCTGGTGATGCCAGGAACCAAGCACAATTATATCAAGACTCCTCCATATTATATCATTTTAGAGACATGCAGAGAAGACAGGTTGAGTTTATAAAAAAGAGGGTTCTTCTTTTGGAAAAAGGGCTCAATGCCGAGTACCAGAAAGAATACTTTGTAAGTGTCATGGCGTGTAAAATCTAATATTTTAAACAATTTCCTTCTAGGTTGAATTAGGGGATTAAATTATTAGAAATTAATCGTATATGCATTGTGTTTTTTAATCAAAACTTTTCTTAGGTGTTGCCCTATCAAATGAACTAATATTTGAGGGTGCTAAAAGTTTACGAAGGATAAGAGATGAAGCAAAACAAACATTGGCAGTTTTTTTTTTTTTCCTTTTCTGAATGGGATATGGAAATGGTAAAAAAACTTATTAGAAAATGCAGGAGGGGAAGAATGCGCTTTCTCTAGGTACCCAACTGTGAACTTCTTTTCTTGGCATTACAGCTTTATGGCTGAATAAATTTGGCATACACTACATTCTTTATTAATGGCGGTGACTGTTAGTGATCCTTGTCTATGTACCCTCTTTTTTGTATTTTTCTTTTAAATTTATTATTCGCACGTAATGGGAAGGCCTAATAAGGGTCGATGTCTCTATGATTAGGTCTGAGGCCAAAAAGTTACTGATATTTTTTAGAACCTTTTAGGTTTTCTTAGAATTCTTACTGCTGAAGTATCTTCGAATTTTCCCACTCCTGTATATCATTTTCACCTTCATACTTGTTGCTGGAACTTTATGTTTACTTTGGTTTTCAATTATTGTTCAATAGTACGTTATAGGTAACATTGTGCTTTCATTATTTATAGATTTTACCAATGGTACGTCATACAACAGTACAAATCAATACAGAATGTGATTGTCTTTGAAAATGTTTTCTTGATTTGCTTGCGGGCTGACAATTTTCCTCATGAACTTTATTTGCAGGGTGATCCAAAATCAAATGAAGTAACAAATGAGGAACTTAAAAGTGAAACCAAGGCTACCAATTTTCCAAGTTATAAATTAGGGGAAACTGACACCCAAATGACTGATCAACTGCCGAAAGTAGAAACAATTGGTATGATTCTATTTTTGTTCATTGGATACATTTTATCTAGACAAACAGCACTTACCTACTATGCATCAGATAATGGAGAAAATCTTGCATGCTCGAGTAGTTCACCTAGAAAATTAAAATGACATGTGGCACAGCAATTTAATCTGTGCTGTCAGATTAACATTAAACCAGACTGAACTGCTATTTCCTTAAGAGTATGAAATAATCTCTCCAGCTATTTTAACTATGTCGTCCATATTTCTGTCACTTGTTATTTTGTGGTTTTCCCCCCTTTCCTGTCCTTTTTCCCCCCTTTGATGCTTTCCTACACCTCTTACGGAAGCTATCTGCATACCCCAACTAAGAAGGGGGACAGAAAGATCAGAACGCTTACTTGTAGTGCTGCCATTTTATGCAGCTTCAGAAGAAATTTCGGCTGCTTGTGATGGTGATCCAAATCGATTGGAGTTAGTTCGTCTTTATAATGAGGTAAAAGTACCATGACCTGCATTTTTAGAAGGATCACTTTCACTCAATAAATGAGGTGGTGAACTATATTTATTATCCCACTGAGTATCTGTATCAATAATCTTTTGTCTGTGTAGATGTGCAAGGTAGTGGAGGAAAACCCCATGGATTTAGTTCAAACTTCTTTGGCAAGAGAACCAGCAGATCCTGATGTAGTCAAGAATTTCCCACCGCTAGTAACCATTTGCGAAGACATCTACAGAATTCTAACACCCATACAAGAACAACGTGCTGCAGATATTCCAATATCAAATTTAGACAACAAATCAGAGGCTATATCGGACGGTGAGATTTTGGGCACCAAATCATTGGCAAACCATCGAGATGCTGGTAAACCTACAGACTCAGCAAACAATGAGAACAAAGACATGATAATAGAATCTGAACCTATAAAAGATAAGAATGAAGCAACGACTCTGCCGGAGAAAGAGAAAAGTAATACAGAAATGGATGAAACTATGGCTGATGCTGAGTAGAATGAAAACCCGGAGAAATCTGATGCTGGGGACGTTGTATTGGATGGTTAAACGCAATAGTTGAAAGATATTTGTTGTACCGTGTAATCATAGTCAACATGGGTTTAGCACGTTAGAAAGGAAGATAATTAAGAACAAAAAGGCACTGTAGCATATGCGGTAGTGGTTAAATCCCGTGCAACTCAATCGGTTAGAAATTGTTTGTTTTCTATTGTATTGCTGTTAGACGCATTTAACTTTCAAGGAATTGAAGAGTATGATCAATTGTATTATACACGGCACGTTACCCTTCGTTCTATTTGAGAGTGAGCAGAGAACTGAGGAAATTTCTCTAAACCTTTCATAGTTTTAATTATCACTCGCCATTTTTCTTTGGACACGTATTTCATCAAGGAAGAAAATTAATAGAATAGAGGGAAGCGATAGAAGGATGTCTGCGAACTTTGACGTATTTCAGCTGTTCAACCTGTGTAACTAACTAGCTTAGATAATCGGTTTGATTCAAAAGAAAATAAAGGGGAAATTGAGGCTTTATCCAAAAAAACAACTATTCTAGCTTTATCCAAAAAAAAAAAAATGTCGGTTCGTCAGTCAATAATATTTTAATTTCATAAATAATCTTGTCTGAAACTAATCAAATACAAAATATGTTCTTCATCGTGCATCACATACAAGATTGTACCGCTACGTCAGTCAATAATAATAAATGCATAATTTTTGTAAAGACAACATTTCCAAGCATAAAAGGGGATCCGTGTTTATTGTCATTCACCATCATAATCACCATAATCTTGTTTATGGATCCCTAACATTTAACAGAGTTGCAATCCCTGATTTCTTTCCAAAAAGGAATGAGAAATACTCGGGTCAAGTGGGATCCATCTGTCTGGTGAGTTCCACTGGGACCCTGTGTCTTTCTGTGCAAGCATGAGCGTGAATGAGATTAAACAAAGTGATTAATAACTTGATAATGCATTGCCGGACCCAAAGGGTAGGACAACAATGCATTTGTATAAGTAGAGAGCCCTTGATGGAAGAAACCTAGAGAACTTTACCCAGTAAAAAGTATTCTGGAGAAGCTAAACTCTACAGTAAACTACAAGATAAATGTGGTTAAACACAATGAAAACTACAAAACTCATCATCGTGGAAGCATATGTTGGTATGTGCTGCCAAATCTCCTATCACATAGATAATCCACCAGAGTAATTATCGCAAATGAGGTTTCCATCCAATAATTTCAGCTTATCTTTTTCCTGCATGGCATGAACACTGAATGAGTATGGGAGGAAAATATTTATGACAGGTGCAAGATAAAACACCTGAATACTAGATCATAAGTCAAATGCTAAAATAACAGGCTAAATACTCTATTGACGAGTTATTTTAACAAGCCAGGATTGACAAATGAGGTGGATTTAGCCAGTATGAAAGTTCTAAAAGATGGTCGGAAGTCGCTGTTGTTTGGCAGATCTACCACCATGGACACTAATGAAATATGTGACACAAATTTTAACATGCAGGAAAACCAAAATTGATAATGTAACAGTCAAGTCCTTAGCAGTGTGCAAGACAAATATAACAATGCTTACATATTATCTAATCAAAGGAGAATGACATTAGGCAATTATGTCAGGCCTGTCAGGCCACGGAGTGAAAATTATGATTGGTGGGGATGATATCCGCTTAATCAAAAGATTTGAATGTGAACGTATCAAAATTTTAAATGGATTAAATTTTAAAGCCGATGTGCATGAGCGAACTTACTGTAGCCAATATGTTAAAAAGAAGTCACAAAGAAACATTTTTAGGGAAACCCTGTGTATTCATAAATGTTATTACCTGTTTCATCATTGAACTGACCAAGTCTTCCAATGAACCAAGATTACTAGAGAAATGACTATGTTGTGACTTCTGCTGGTTCAAGATATTCCCCTGATGTTGCTTAGATGAGATCTCTTCAGTAAATTCCACAAACCCATCATGCTTCATTTGTAAGGGATCACCAAAGTTAAAGTCCAAGTTTCTCTGGGAGGCTGAGTTTGTTGCTGTATGGCCTGCTGGAACAGTAGCACCATTGACTGGAGTCAATGAGTTTATTGATGCAAATATATTATTTGAATGGTGAGTAGCATCCTGATTACGGTCATCCCATCCTTGAAATGGCACATTACTGCTTATGAGCCCAGATCTGTTAGTAAAAGTCACTCCTTCAGAGTGCATATTTGTCATTGAATCATGGGATTGCCTGGACAGTGAAGTGATAGATGGACCACTCAGATTACCACCTTGTAAGGGTACAGAAGCCATGTTATCTGGAGGAGGTATATTAGTCTGTCTAAAACATTCACTTGAAGGGTAAGAGTTTGTCTGGATCACAGATGGCTGCACAGCACTTGTCCAACTATTATCACTATATCTACCTTGATCCAGCAAAGGTAAAGAATAATCTGAATGTTGAGAGGCTACTGAAGAAGATAAAGTTTCAATTCTTACACTCCCTTGTGTTCCTTGAGGGTATGGTTCCAACATCAAGGCATTGTTTGACATACCTACATCTGGATTTTGCGAGCTAGAGGTGGTTATTTTTGGTCTTGGATCTGGGAGTTTATTTGAGATGGGAAAATTTGTTTTGGCATTAAAAACAGTGGTTAGATTTTGAACAGAAATAACACCCTTATTGTTTTGAGCAGACATTGGCATTCCCTGAACACCATTCTGATTAACAGGAACCATGGCTGACTGGAACTTAAGATGATCATTAGTGTTGTTTAAATTTTGTGATTGACTCAACTGAAGAACTCCAGAAGGAAACCCATGCGCATTCAAAGCAGCAGGAGTGTTCAATCTATTAATTATTCCACCTGGTGGAAAGGATCTAAAACCATTGTTATGAAGCTGTCCAGAACCACTCAATGTTTGTAAATGTCCAACCCCACTCACAGAACTCATTCTCAAATAGGATGGATCTGCACACCCTAAGGCCGCCACCATATTAGCCTGTTGGTTAGCCACGCAACTAATTCTTTTCAGATAAAGCCTATACTTCTGCAGCCATTTCAGACAAAGAAACATTCCGTGAATGAAAAGGTATATGTTACACTAAATGAAAACACAAAGAACTAGAAAATTGCCTGGAGATGGCTCGCCACATTCTCCCTTGTAAGCTTTTCAACATTCATCAAATCCAGAATTTTTTTAGGTACAGCCTCTGCCAGCAAAACAACAACATCATGAAGCCCAAATTCATATTAGTAAGGGAAAAATACATGGCATGGCATAAAATTTGAATAATTGTGACCTTACATTCCCCAGTGTCACTTAAAATAAGGAGGAGTGTTGACAAAGTCTTCATAACAGTTCTGAACATATATATATGTTCTGAACATTAAATTGATTATGCTAGCATCTAACCAGATATTAAAAACATCTTGAAAATACAAAATAAGAACAACAATTTGAACAAGTTCGTGAAGATATTCATAAATGTTATGACTGTTTTATACTGTAAAAGAGTGAAGAACATACTATCAATGCCTAACTGATTAACAGCAGCAACAAACTTGCGGTGCAGCTCCACAGACCAAACAACCCGAGGCTTCTTCTGGGTTGAAGGGTCATCATTATCATGATCAATCTCCTGCTCCTCATCTTCATCATCATCTTGATCCTTCCGTTTCTTAGTCAGCTTCTCATTTTGATCTGAATTTACGGCTCCAGATGATCCATGTCCATTGCCACTATCAGAAGTGGGTTTGTCTAAGTTGCTTGTTTTGTTCTTCTCCTTTGAGTCAAACTTCTTCCTTCTGATTACATGTTGCCAGATGTTCTTGAGCTCCTCCATTCTCACGGGTTTCAGCAGATAATCACAGGCTCCATGAGAAATCCCCTTCATCACCAGCTTCGTATCACCATTTGCAGACAACACTGAAATCAAACATTTTACCAAGGTTCATCGAATAATCATTTAAGTTGCGTAAATAACTCGAAACAGCCTCCTTAAATAAGTATGTTTGAACATCACATTTTCACGTTAATCAAAACTTTAACAAATTCCATTATAGGACTGGACTATTTATACATAAAAATAATACACTTGATATTAAAAAAAATAGAAAACTCATTGTTTACATCTAAATACCTTAAATTTCTAACTTGATTAATAATTATATCAATAACTGTCAATCAAGTTAGAAATGGTCAAATAACGCAAGTCAAAATGAAGAAATGTTGAAGATTAACTACTGATACAAGACCCACACTTACTTATGACAGGAAGGTCCATCTCAAGTCCCACCAGCTCAAGCAGCTTAAATCCATCCATGTCAGGCATATGCACATCACTAATTACCAGGTCAAACTTGTCTTTATGCTCTCTCAACAGCGCCAATGCTGTTATTGCTTGATTTGTTGTGGTTACTGCAACCCCATCCGTAACCAAGATAAATATCATTCTGAAAGAGCAAAGTCGCACATTGCACACACATCCACAGCATAGACAGTCACAATATTAATGTTCATCAACGTGCATATTTGGAATCACGTTTGGGATGTGGAAGCTATAAGCCTATAACTATTAGCTTCTGAAAATCACGTCTGCGGTGAGGAAGCTATAATTATTAGCTTCTGAAAATCACATCCAAAAACTGGAAAATCATGTCCAAAATGTGAAACCAAACACGCTAAAAAAAACTCATCCCAAAGAAATATTCAGATCCTCCATCGAAAGCAAGTCATAACAAGCAGTAAAAAAAGTAATATGTAGCCCATAACCTATAACAGAAGCTTCCTCTGCAACAATTGAACCAACATGCAAAGAAGTTGGAGTTCACTGTAGTATTCTCTTTAAATAATTTCATCAGTAAAAGCATATACATATTAAACTACCCACGACAGAAGAATCTGAAACAGAACACCAAAATCTAAAAGAAAGAAGAACGCACAAACCAAAACCCTAAATCATGAATAACAGGAAGTAAAAGCAACGGTCGAAGATTCAAACCATGATATTGACATTTCCGGAGGAGATTTTCCAAGACCATGAGGCAGATGGGATCGTCATCGACGGCGAGCACACGCATTCCGACGGGAAACTCTTCCCCAGAATCACTCATTCCCGACGGGAAACTCTTTTCGACAGTCATTTTCTTCTACAAACTTCACAAACACCAAATAAGTGTTTGTGGGTCTGAAACCAAAACCCAGAAAGAAGCTATGAAACAGAAGAGACAGGGACACCAATTTGAAAAACGATTTCTTTTGTGAGGAATAAATAGTAATTTGTGAGGACAATGTGACTGAATAATTGAAAAGAACAATAAATGCAAGGAAGGAGCGAAAAAGTTGGTGTCTTTTTGTGCTTATGTGGGTGTCAGCGTGCAACAGTGGAAGGGGAAAGTGATGGAAAGAGAGAGAGAGAGAGAGAAACTGCTATTGTGTGTTCCTATTCATAATCCAAACTTGTATAGCCATAAATATATTATTATTTTATTATCCTTGCTCCACTTTTTTTTTTTTTTTTATGTTAATTCACCCTTTACTTTTTCAATTATGTTAATTGTTCTGTACAAACTGTTAATCTCGTGTTTTTTTAATTTAATTAACTCTTTCCACTTTTAAAATTTAACAAACTTGGACCCCTATCATAATTTATTAAGGCCTAAAAAGCCGTAAATTATCATATTTTGCGAAAAATCTTACAAATTGAATCAATTAAAATGGTTTTTACTCAAAACTCATTACATCAAATTTTATTGAACAAATCTCAAAAAAATTGCCTTCAAATCTTAATCTTGCCTCTTATATTTTTGCATAGATTATGTCAGGTTTCAACTAAATTGTTTATCTCTAAAATTTTAAAATGACCCCACAATGAGTATGTGATTATGTATGTTTTATGTAATGATTAGGTATCATTTAATACACTGTAAACAATATTTTGAAGATTTGAAATAAAATAAATTGCCTAATTTAAAAAGAATAAAGAGATTTAGTTAACTAATAACAAAGTATTAAAATTTCATACAATTTAAATTAAAAAAAAATGTTCAGTGAAAATAATTAGAGTTATCAAGTCTAATTTTAGTAAAGAAATTTGATTACTCAATTTGATATTGTCAAAAATTTTAACCTAATCTAATTTTATATTAAACCAATGGGTTAATTTTCATCTTATTAAATTTTAAAAAATATTAACATATTTATATAAAATCAATCCATTAAAAAACATTTAAATAAAAATTAAAAAAATATATAATTTTAAATTTTATTAATAAAATTAATTTTTATTTAAAATATAATAATTTAATATATAAATTATAAAAAATTATATCTATATAATTTTAAAATAAAAATTAAAAATTAATTCTTTAGTATTATTATTTATTTTTAATAATTTATTAATTAAAAATAATAATTAATTTTAATCATTAGATATTTAAATAAGTGATTATCAAAAATTTATTATAATATTTGTTTTTAAAATAAATAAATTTATGTAAAAATAATTTATAATATATATGTATTAATAAAATAATATTATTTTTATTTTATTTAAAAAATAATTATTATTTTATAAAATACATCCATTCATATAGATGGGAATTAACCTATCTTGACTTATTTTTAGCCCATGTTAAAAAATCATTACAAACAAATAATAATAGCTAATGAGATTTAATAATCGTATAATTTAGTTGATGAAAACATTAACAACTCATTTATGTGGTGAAATTGCATTGACTTCGTGGTCTTCTTGTTTTTAAATGGTAATCACGGTATTTAATTATTTAAATAAATATTTATTCCCTTTAATAAAACGATACGCATATCTACGTACGATACTTTATTAATGGGAGACACGTCTAGGGTTTCTTCCTCAATTATTAACCCACGTGTTTATGTGATGTGGAAAAATTATGCGTTCTCAAATTCTCAACGATTATGCTAAGTGCTTCAAAAATATTTTTTCTGTTTTTACACTTTTCTTATGTCTCATCTCCACTATGTGAACTTTCATAATTTATAGGATAAAAAAAGTTTATAACAAAAAGAAATATATAAAATTATAGTTTTTAATACAATCTCCAAGCAAGTATTTTTTTTTAATTATAAGAAATACGAGTACTATTTAAAAATAAGTTAGAAATTACAAGTGTTATTTTTCCAAAATATAATTATGGCAGTGGTCTTAATCACAATCTTAGAGTGAAGCCAAATCTTAAGATTTGTGAGAAAAACATGCGCGTGGTGAGGACGCGCTTTAAAAAAAACCGAATCCAATCAGAATATATTTTTCTCATTCGTTGGACATTGGACGGTGTTGGGATAGAAACTGCCTTTAATTGATCAAGACCTTTTGGCTTTACATTAGAATTTTATATTAATATTATTCATTTTTTCAATATAATGATCGTAAAATAGAATATAATTTGTTTTATCAATACGTTTATATAAAATCGTAAAAAGCCAATATAAAATAACAGATACCATAATACTGATAAAAATTATTTATCATAAAAACTGAATAATGTAGTTAAAACCTCTTTACTATAAATATAAATGTCATTAAATAAACTTATCGCATGTTCATCCTTAAATCATCCTCTAAATTTTTTAATCATAATATAAATTATTTACTGATTTTATTGTAATTTTTTAAAAATAATTCTCAGACTCATATATTTAAAAATGAAGTTAAGATAATTTATATATACTTTTTTTTCTTAATCTATTAAAAAAACTATAATAAAGAAAAATTTCAAATCGATCAGTTTCGGTGGAATTTCGATCGAGTTCGATTGAAAGGGTATTTTGGTCTTTAATCGAAATCCTCCCACGTAAGTTCTTTTTACTTAGGCTAGCAATTTGATTTTCAATCGAAAACGTGTATGAGAATCGAAAACCACAGGATATCGAAAACACTGTTTTTGGTGTTTTGTATTTAAAGTATCGAAAGCATTAAGACTATCGAATCGAAAAAGCATAATGTTAAATTGCGAGGAAATGTAAAGTGCGAAAACCCCAAACTTGCATTAATTGTAAATAGCAAGAAATCGAAAACAACGCAAGTATAAATGACAAGAAATCTAAATTGAGATTGCAAGAAAAGTAAATGACGGAAATTGAGATTTGCAGAATGTTAAATAACATGGAAATCTAAATGCGTAAACTCAAATTTTCATTGAATTGAAATGGACAAGGGATTGAAAATACGAAACATAAAATTGCTTGAATTTAAGTTGCATCAAAATAAATTACCAAGGAAAATACAGAAGCGGTAAATGTACTCAGTGAGCAAGGAAATCCAGATTGCCAGAAGCTTCATGGTGTTCGTCATTTCTCCGGTAGACTGTTCACTACTGATCCTGTTCTCTGCCAATTTCTGCTCCTCTTCTTTCCTTCCTCCTTTGCTCTATTTATAGGGTATCCTTCAAGCCTTCCAAGAACAGTTAACACGACTGCTACCACGTTCTACGTGCGTATGACCGTTTATCTTCTATAGTTTCCCACGTTCTTCACGATCTCCGACTTTTTTCCATGATTTCAAAACTGCTCTTTATACGTGCATTCGACTTACTTCCTTTCACAATTTGGCCAAAGTCTCGATGTCCATATTGGCTTTCTTTACTCTCGATTATGTATTTTTCGAGAACTTCGAATTGCTTACGATTCCTTTTTTAACCCTGGTCTTATATGACTTAGTTTTTATTCGACAACAGTCATTTGATTATAATTCATTCGATTCTCGATTGTGTTTCTATGTGCCACGTATTTCTAATTAAACATCGAATGAATTTTTGTTTATCTTATCGAGTCATATTTCTTCCCTTCGAATTCGATCGCTTTTCTCGATTTGCCATTAACAGAATGCCCCCTTGGAAGAATATAAATGATTTCTGTTTTATATTCTTTCAATATTCCCGCCTTAGTGTTTGAAAGCCCACAGGATTTAGGGTTTAGGGTTTTTGGGGTTCTAGGGTTAAAAGGGGTTTTAGGTTTCTTTTCCACTTTACGTCGCCGTCTCGTCAGTTTGTTGCCTTTCAGTACAAGTTACATTAATTACCTTTCCCTTCCGTCGCTTCCAACTCCCTAGACGATTTTCCTTTAACCTTTCCTTGGTCTTTACTCTGGTCTTTACGCGAACTATCACCTTCTTTGCAATCTCATCTTCTCCCTTGAGCTCCTGCCTTCGTCCCTGTTACCTCATCCGTTAACTCTTCCCTTTCTGTTTTCCTAAGCTTACTGCAATGGCCACCTCGTCGAAATCTTCTGACTTCTCCGTTCCACCCCTTTTCTCATTGCCTTCCAACCTGCTGGAGATTAATAACCAGAAGTTCGCTCCAGTCCCTTTGATGGAGGAGGCTTCCCGCAAAATTGCTGAAACGCAGGTACTTATCCCTTACACTGCTGAGGGGGTTAATTTTGCTTTTGGGGGTCCACTTCGTCCTATAGATGACATTTTCTCCCCTCTCAACCTCTCGACTAGCCCGGCTCTTGTACATCATCCTGAAGTTAGGGTTGATTTTCTGAATCTTACCTCTAAGGTATATAGAACAGGCCCTCCTTCCAAAAAATCTTCCTTCATTAGGTGGTTTGATAGAGTAAAAACTAAGTTTGGGAGCCACTGGAAGGATGTTGGAATTTTCGACTTTTTGCACCTGTCTCGATGCGATCTGTCGTTTTTGGACATGACAATGTTTCTATCTGCGGTGCACTTATGGAACAAGGATTTACATGCTTTGGAGTTGCCTTGTGGCCCACTTTCACCCACCCTTTTTGAGGTCGCGGCTATTACTGGCTTGAAACCTACGGGGGAAAAATACTTCCAGGGTACATGTCCTTCGGATAATTCTCTGAAGTCTAAAATTGATTGGGAATCGAAGGCCTATGGTCATTTCCTCGAGAAGCATTTTATCGATGACCCTTCGATAGCTGTTACCGATGAAGAGCACGTGGCATTTTTAGTGTATTGGCTGTGCACTCATGTTTTTTGCCCTCGATCGATCCAAATTTCCTCTCATCTGTTCAACCTTGCATATCTTTTGCACATAGGCCAACCTAGGATATGTTTGGCTAAACTTCTGCTAGCCCATGTATATGCTGCCTTCGACGAAGCTGTCGAAATCTTGAACACTCCTAAAGC